GTACATTTGTCATCTTCCTACTATTATATTTATTATTATTTTATTTTATTCTTTAGGAGGTGGTTCTGATAAAAAAGGAGAGGATGAGGGGATGGAGGAAGAGGAAGAGTTCTCTGATGGAAGTGCTCCTTCTGAGGAGGAGAGACAATCAAGTCCTTCAGCATTAGAATAGAACCATTCATATTTATAGCAGTTGTTGTTGAGCAAAAAAGTACAAAAATGTAAAACATCTTCTGTGATTGTAAATGGTAGACTATAGTCTACCATGCAATTAGTTGTACATCAGTAGGGCATTTACTCATATTAGTTACTCCTACACAATCCACCCTTGTTCCTCTATCTAAGGAGCCTCACCAAAGGAGCCTCGCCCTTTCTTGTTTTGTTCAAATCGACAGGCCCCCTTTTCTTCTCTCTTGTTATTGCAGCATTGGATGTTTTCTAAAGGAAGTCCTCAGCCATGATTGATTTGTGTCAGTGGAGAGCTAGAATAGGATCCTGGAACTGTTCCCGCCATTGGAGGCAACCCAGTACTTCTACTAGTACTAGTAGTAACACTTACTGTGGAACTGGTAGAGCTAGTGCTAGTAATACTGCACAAGAAAAGGGCCCTAGACTTGTTTTATCTATTTTTTGTCTTCTTATCCTCCTCTTAATATCAGGAGATGTGGAACTTAATCCTGGACCCACTCTTACAGGTAAGGCTAATCTATAGGAACTGTAGTCTAGGGTTTATTATACATCATATCTAATAGATAAGCCAACAAAAGATGAATTGGTTGAGTTATTGAGTAGCTCAAAGTTTACTGCTGGTACTTGGGAACAGTTTGTCTGTTATCTTCCTAACGTGACACAAGAAGTCATTAGTAATATTAACCAGAAAGAGGAAGTGGAGGATGCTGAACATATCGATAGTGTTAGTGCTGTAGCTCAATGTTGCCTGGATAATAATTCTGAAATAACATGGAAAATAATTGTGATGTCACTTTTAGATGCAAAAGAATGCATCTTAACTAAGCAAATTTTGACAAAGATTGAATGTTCTTGTGTTGCAAGAAAAAGTCAGTTTTACATTATATTGATGCACATTTATCATTTATTTTTTAAATAGGAACAAAAGTTGATGCCACTGTAACAGTTGAGACTACATTGAGAAAGCATTTCGCCTTTTTATTTCGTGCCACTGAAGATTGCTTGGAATCTGTTACTGTGGAATTTTTTTCTAAGGGTCTTATTAGTAGAGATGTTCGAAAGTCACCATCTTTTTGTAAAATTGAAAATGAATTTGTAGCATCGTCTTCTTGTGAAGAAGATATGACCAAATTAGAAGAGAAATGTCGTAATTTTGTACATTGCCTTGCTAAAGCAGGTGGTCCAGCTAAAGATGCAGCCATTGCACTAGCTGAAGATTGGGAGCGTGACGTATTGAAGGAACATAATCTGAGGTGGTCTTTAATGATTGACATTAAAACTTTGACTGATTTATTTCTTCCTTCAGAAATTCCACTGAGCTCTGAGGTACCTCAAAAAGTTAAGGAGCTTCGTAAAAGTTTCCTTTCAGTTATGAAGCACATCAGGTCTTACTATAACGATTGTAAGCAGTATAATGTTGAAGATTTTGCTCGATACTTAACGGATGATTATGAAGTGCCTCTTACAGAAGAGCCTTTAACTAATTGTAAAAGCCTTGATAGTCTATTGTATTCAGTTAAAAGTCATTACAGTTTTTTTAAATTTGATTTAATTGAAGACCTTGTGAATGAATTTCCTCTAAGTGATGAGCTACAGTTGGAACTTGACCAGTATGTACAAGAATTAAAACTATTTAAAAAATCAACTGCACTGCAACAAATGAAGGATGCGATAAAGCAAGTACCTATACCACATGAAACCTCAGAAGCACATAGTAGAATTGTTATTAAACTTACTGGGTGCTGGAGTGATAAAACAGTTGAAAGTCTTGAAAACCTCATTCAATACCTTTTTAAACGTGATTCTAAGCGTGCCAAACTGATTGAAATTGATGAAGGATCAATCGTTGTTACATTTCTGGCTTTTTCAACATCACAATCTCTTATTGACAAAGTACAGGATAAAAGTCAGTTTGTCCAGTATCTTGGTATATTTGAAATAATCATTAACGATGACATTGTCATCAAAAGAGAGGAAGATGTTAACTTTAAATTCGAAGACTCACTTTTACATGCCATCAATCACATTGACAGTAATGCA